TGCGCGGCGGGGAGGCTGCAGCGCAGGCCGCCGCGCTGACGGCGCACGCGGCACTTTTTCGATTGCGAGTGATGCGGGATCAGCCGCGCACCGTCAAGAAAAGCCGAACGACATGCAAAGCCGCGCAAGTGCAAGGCAGCGGAAAAAGACGGGCCACTACGCGGATAGCGCAATTGGGACGAAGACAGAACGAAACGAAAGAGGGAGGAACGGAGCAACAAGAAGAGCGGAATACGCAAGAGCGAGGAAGAAGGGGAACGAGGCGAAACAGAAGAGAAGGCAAGCCGCGGCTCACGCTCAGACGGGGTGGGACGCGACCGTCCCTTGCCGAACAACCGGAACTCGTAGTAAGGCTGACCCAAGCCAGTCCAATGCTCGCAGCTTCAACGTCACAAGTGGACGCAAGTACGAGGGGCGAGTGAACGTACGGCACGCAGACACCATCCGCCAGGTCAGCTCCAGGACCGCGTAGTCCGCCGAAGGTCGCTGCCACAGCGAGCTACGAAGGGGCAAGCCACGAGCCCGGCCAGGCTAGCGTACGTCACCGTCTCGAGTCCTCCGCCGATGGAGTACACTCCGGTGGCGACAGAGGCATACCAAGCCAGCCGGGGGGGATGGCCAGCCTGGGCCTGCCGCGTACGCAAACTCAGGGTGGGGGGGTGCGCCGCCGGAAACCAGAAGCTCGATGGGGGGGGTAGCATCGCCTGAGACTTGCAGCGCAGTGAAACATATTGGTGACTGGCCTGGGAGCGGCGAGCGGGGGGGGTATCCAAATGCCGCTTTGTGCCAAGCGCAAGGTGGGGGCTCACGGTTGCACCGCATGAGAACGCCAAGTGATCTGGTAGGGTGCAGCTAACAGCCGCAGGAATGTGGGAAAGAGGCTGTCGCCTGAGCCAGACTGGGGTCAGACATGGAGAGGCAGGCGCGGGGGAAGCCGATTGCTGCCCACGACCAAAGGCTGGGGAAGTGGAGATCACCCCTCGTCATTTTCAGGCCGATCTATGTTGACTACATCTCTCCATGGGGTCCGCCTGCCGCGATAGCCCACTCGCAGGCCCGGGAAATGCGAGGCAATGTCCACTGTGAACCATCTTACCTGATAGCATAGTCTTCCTCGGAAGCCTAACCGCACATGTGACCATATCTGGAACTTCAATGCCAGTGCACCCACTCTGTTGTATTGCAGCGTCAATGTGTGTCCTAGAGGCACTATATCCTCCCACGCGAGAGAGAGCTTCTGACGCTCTGCAACCTCCTGCTTAGCTGTCTTGATCACTACCAGACCCTGCCAGCTCATACTTATAACGTGTGCACGCTTACCCTGCCCGCTCATACCTAGAACGGCGCAAGCGGCACGCGCAGCAGTGCAAGGACATTCCGCCGAGGAGGCCCGAACACGAGCGCGCGCATCTCGCGACTTTCGGCCTCTGCTTCACACGACGCGACAGGGCCGAGCACGCGCGCAACGCGTTGCGCGCAACGCTTTTGCAAAGAGCAAGCGCGGCTGGGTAGCCAAAATGCTTCTCGGTGCTGGGTTTCTCCTTCCTGCGACCTCGGAGAACCGAGCTCGGAGGAGGGTCCGCGGCCGTTCGGCCCTGCACCTGGTGGGAGTTGCTACGGCAGGCCTCGGTCGATAGCTTCACTCGCGCCGCACGCCCTCTCGAGTCGCGCCGGCAAGTTGCGGGTGGGTGCGATGCCTGCTCGAGCACTGGAGCTGACGGCTTCAGCATCGTCGAGCTCTCCTTGCGCCGCGCAACTGACATCCCACAGCCTGCACCGCACGGAATGCACTCCAGACTTCGTATTAACCCTGGGAAGCAAACAGTAAACCCCCCGGCGATATCGTTAGCACAGAAAATAAAATAAATAATTATTTTGGGCGGCGCCCTCCGGCGATATCGTTAGCACATTAAACATAACATAAAATAGTTAATTAATTTGCCCCCCCGGGCCCGAAGCCGGCGGCAACGTTCAAAGGAACCCTATTGGAAATTCAAAATAATTTCAAAGGAGCCCCACAGAACTCGCAAAGGGATCCCAGCGGCAGCCCAAACGAACCACGAAGGAATCTAAGGAATTTGGAAAACGCGGGCTCGCGTGGACATAAGCAATCCCTATTGCGGCCGCACTAAGGAAATTGATTCTTTCAGGGGATCCTATGGGAGAGCCCACGGAGAGATATCGCAGACGGATTCCGCGAACCCCCCCGCGATATGTTAGCACATTTATTGAAAATAAAATAATCCACCGGCCCCGGATGTCGATGTGATGCTCCCTTCAAGGATTGTCGAAGGAATGTGAGAGGAACTTGAAAGGACCCCCAAAAGGAATCCCATAAGAATCTCACAAGGAATCCCACGCAGAATATCAAAGGAACCAATGGAAGTTCAAAGCAATCTCAAAGGAGCCCAACAGAAATCGCAAAGGCATCCCAGCGGCAGCTCAAACGAACCACGAAGGAATCTAAGGAATTTGGAAAACGCGGGCTCGCGTGGACATAAGCAATCCCTATTGCGGCCGCACTAAGGAAATTGATTCTTTCAGGGGATCCTATGGGAGAGTCCTCGGAGAGACATCGCAGACGGATTCCGCGAACCCCCCCGCGATATGTTAGCACATTTATTGAAAATCAAATAAATCCACTGGCCCCGGATGTCGATGTGATTTTCCCTTAAGCAATGGGGCATCAAAGGGATATGACCGGAACCTCAAGGGTCCCCCAGAATAACATCAAAGGAACACCAGAGGAGTCTCAAAGGAGCTCCAAAAAAATCACAATGGAAACGGCAAGGAATCTCAAAAGAAGCCAATCGGAGTATCAAGGGAATCTATAAGGAATCTCACAGAAACGCACAGAATCACAGGAAGCGACTCTGGGCAGGTGTGCCTTGTCGCTGGGCTCTGGACTACAAGGGGACCGGGCATTCAGAGGCTTGCGGAGGCCTTTCTGGGTGCCTCCTAGGAACCTCCGGGGACCTCCCCTCCGCGGACCTCTGGTGACCTGCGGGGGATATCGCTTCCGCCCCGGCCCCGGTGCCGGAAGCGTTATAATTTCCTCTGATGAGGGGGGGGGGGGGGAGGGGGGTTTACTGATTGCTTCCCAGGGTTAAAAGGGAGGAGGTCTGGACCCTCCAAGGCAAGCCATTTCAGACCTCCCCCGTGGGAGAACCCTCCAAAACATCGTCCGCAGACCCCCCAGGCCCTCCAAGAGAGCCTGGAAGAGACTCCCCCCCCCGAAATGAGACCCCCCTCCCTTTACTACGAAATCTGGGGCACCCCACGACTTGCAGCCCCCCCGGCCTGCACCGCCTGCTGCACAGCGGGCCGCACACACCGCACCCCATGCAACATGCGCGCCGAGAGCGCGGGCGCCCGCCGCCCGGGGCCCGCGCCAGAGAAGACACACACGCCGATCTGCTATGGAGCAGCAAGAACATAAGCATCAATGGCCGGAGGCCCTCACGGATCTCTTGACTCGGAGCTGGACCCCCCTCCTGGAGGGTCCAGCATCAATGGTCGGAGGCCCGAGCGGACTTCTTGACTCGGATCTCTTGACTCGGAAGTGGAGGGGCCCTCCATGGCACCCATTCTTGTATCATGCACGGTAACGCCCGTGCCCGGACCCGCCCCCCCCTTCCCTCCCCCCCCTGGTCACGCCGGTGACCCCCAGGAGGTAAAGGTCTCTTGGCGCGCCAGGGGCGTCGCCATTGGCGTCGCCAGGACTCTGTGCGGCCTTTCGCAAGTTCACGGTTGTTCTATTTGCTCTTCTTCGAGTTTCCCTGAGATCCGACGGCGCGAGATGAGTGAAATATTACGATACATGAAGACTGGGGGTTCCTATAGTATCCCCTTCTTCCTGCGCCATTCGTCAAGCCGGATCGATATGTGATGGCCCCCGGGCCCGAAGCCGGGCGAACACGCCCGGCTCGAAAAAATTGAGACGCCAGGATCTAAATGGTTTCTGCCCTTCGAGGAAATGTAGTGGAATGAACAGATACCGACACCGCTTCTCCGGATACCGCTTCTCCCCGAACCTCTCCCGGGGCGACTACTGACCAGCATTTCGAGGAGATTCCAGCCGAGGCGACGATGTTTCTCGAGTGCAAGTGGCGGTACCGGAATTGATATACCATAGCTGTTCCCCCTAACCCTGTGGGAGGAGACCCAAGTTACGAGGGTCCGACTCACAGCATCAGGGAGAGGGAGCCTTCCCTGCAGATGTGCCAAGCGGAACCACCAAGGGGGCCTAGGTGAGGCTACGCCATCATCGTATTATCTTCCCAGACCCCCAGCGCCATCATGTTTGCATGATGGCCTCCAGACCGACTTTTCAGCCTGAGTTGTTTTTGATGGCCGAAGGCCGAAAGTAGCGACAAACCTTGTGTTACTCCCATCGTATTTAAGGACCACATCCCAGAAAGTATTTCGACCACCCAGAGAAGTATCGAAACAGAGTCGAACGAGTATCGCCTCCCAGGGCCCGACACGCGAAAACCTTCAGGTGTCGGTACCTTCTTGGTGCTCGAAATTCTTTCTGGTGACCAAGGCTACGGTGGGTTGGAACATCATTATCGGGGGCGGCCAAGAGGGGGGTGTCCAAGAGGGGGGGGGTGCAAATCATGACCGGCGGCATGTGCGCGGCCCAGCGGGGGGGCCAGGGACGGAATGAAATAAGAAGAGGCGCCATGACATCTGGGGAAACATCATGGCCCCCGCCATGATATCCACCCCCACC